CCCACCTCCCCCTCTCCTGTGTCCCCTCCAGAACCGCAGGTACCGTTGTTTTCTCCTCCAGACTATTCATCCAGTCTATCTTATCTAGATAGATCAATAGAGATAATAATATGCATCAAAAACCAAGCCATAACAAGATAGGCGATCCATGAGAACACATCGCACCATGGTAAAATATTAATAAGCATAGCTCTGGCAGGGGCTATGCTGCAGAATCATGCAACAGCTTTCTTCTGGCACAGTAAAGTTATCTGTTTCACTAGACAGTGAGTTACCAGAAACATTTTAAAGATATATCAATATCAGTAAGTAAGATCTACTTAAACATTACCTTTTTGATATAGCATTTTTTAAGTCAATAAGGCTTTATCAAAATAATCTCTGTGGGATTTTAGGACCCTGTGATAGTTCTATAATCGTTTGTCAATTTGAGAGGATTATGAGTGCAGGGGTGAGGTCTAGGTGGGGTCTGTCAATCAGGTGATAGCCAATGAAGCCTCTGTGTGGGCATGGCCTTCCCCTGAGGATCCTGGGAATTGCTCTATTCCTTCCTTGGAGGTGGGAGACACTGTCTTTCTGCTCACTTCCTGAGACACTCTCTACTGACAAGACACATGAAGCTCTGCTGATTGCAGCAAGAGCCCTGGACCTGGAGAAGCCAGGTGGAGACCCCTGCCAGCACTGAGATGCTTCTATTACCACTGGATCCACAAGACTTTCCACCCACTGGCCTGTGATCTTCCTGCATGCAGCACATTGCATGTTTTTCATGAGTATAAAGAGGACTTTATAGATTCGTATCAAACATGTGGGCTAATATCGGACTTATGGACTTGTTCTGGACTGGACGGGATGTTTTCTCAATAGTCAACTGCTTTTGTAAATAAAGCTCTTTCTTATACACATATGAGTGTCTACGAATTTGTTTCTCTAATCTATCCAGACTATCACAAACCCTAAATACTCTAGAAATAGTGTTTTGATTCTTCTGAAAAGTGCAAAAAGAAACCTTTGAAATATAGCTTAAAGCAATAAAGTCCTACATATATATTTAAAATGTATATCATAAGTACCCCCAAACTAATGTCCTTGAATAATCTTTCAACGTTAAACCAAAAAACGTCCACTAGGTCCTAAAATCAATCCATCATTTAACTAGTAAAGAACTATTGCCTTGAGCATTATGATCTTTTTTAAAAAATTAGTTTATTTCTAGTAATTTCACCAACATACAGTTCACATATCATACATTTCAATTCCATTCATGTGACCATTATTCTCTTTTAAGAGCTATCTACATGTAATGAGAAGCCCTGTAGGTACATTGCTCAAGAGCTTAGCTACTAACTGAAAAGTCAGGGATTAGGCCCACCAGATGCTCTGAGGAAGGAAGTGGCCATTGGCCTCTGTGAAAATTACTTACAGCCTTGGAAACCCTGTAAGAGTTCTATTCTGTCCAATAGGGTTGCTATGAGCTGCAATCTAATTAACAGCAATTGGTTGATTATATAGGATCAAATTACCTCAGAAAAGGAGATGAGCATGCAATCAGTAGCACTGAATTGCATCTGTAGAAACTGTTGGACTGGTGAGTGTATTACTGGGTATTTTCCCAACAGTAACTGCAGTGCAGTGACGTATTTAACATGGCCCTTCTAGACATAATCTTTATCATTCCCATCAAATGACTTTTTCCTGATGGATCTGCGTTAGAAGGTGAGGAAAGATACTGGTTGTATTATATGATTCAGCTGTGAGTGATTGCATCCTACTGAGTACAAAGGGAGCCATTTCAGAAGGGGGTAGGGTAGAGCTCACTGCCAGGCAAGAGGGAAGAGCCAGGAGTGGAGCATGTCCTTGGGGCTCCAAGATCCCTGTACTTTGAACCTCCTTGAGCTAAGAGACAGCATGGACACCATAAAACTGACAAAGGCTCAGCAGCAGTGGAACTAGGAGCCAGAGCATGAGACAGAGTATGGGTTTCCCAACCCACAGAGCAAGTAAAGATGAATGCTTTGAGGGATGAGGCTGGCTTGTAGAGTGGGGTGCCTGTAAGCACCTCATTGGGGAATCTGAGTGCCTTTGGGTTAATGTTTACAGTGGAGTAGCATGCTCTTTGGGCATATATTGGCAACCTTAAAAGAGCTTGGTAGCATTGCCTGAGAAGGCCAGTGACCAGGCCAAGAGATGGAGGGAAGGCCTGTGGGCATGATAGAGAAGAAACTGTCCTAACTAACTCTATCCTGAGCATTTCCCACATGAATTGTAACCTGTTAAGTTCCCAAGTAAACCTCATAATCCTGAGTGATGTCTGTGAATTCTCTGTGGTCATTGCAAGGAATTATGGAACCCAGCAGAGAAGTAGAGCATGTGGGAGTGGCAGCTGGTGTCAGGATTAATGAGAAAAGTTCAAGGTATGTCTGACCTCTGCTTTATGGCAATTGGTCTTGGCAGACAAACTACAGAAGGGAGTGGGTAAGATGAGCACAGTGTAGCAGTTTGCCCCACTGGAGCAGACTGATGGCTTTAGCTCACTCCACCTGGGAGGCCTGTAACCAGGGGCTCTTCAAGATGGTCCTTCTGCTTGGCTGCCCTCACGTAGACCCATGATTCATGGCAAGGCCATGCACAACAGGGTCAGGCCATGGTGATCCAGAGGGTTGCCACTGGCTGATTTTTAGACATAGATCGCCAGGTCTTTCTTCCCAGCCCATCTTCATCTGAAGGCTCAGCTGGAAAACCTGTTTAGCATCACAGCACCGCACAGCCTCCACTAACAGATGGGTAGTGGCTGAACATGGAACACACCGGTTACAAATCAAAGTGGGGGTGGGAGTGGTCTCCTGCATGGCAGGTTAAGAATGCTACCAACTGGATCACCACTGCCTCCCCTCTTCATGACAGGGATGTTAAAAGGAATCGAACAGTGACTCGTCGGCAGAGGTGGAATGACATGCG